AATAACTGAAAATGATAGTTAAATTGTGGCGACCTCCCCCACCCCCGCTCGACAGCTAAATTTTGGGGAAAAACCAGGTAGCATGGGGAGGGGGGTCGTATTTGAGGATGGAATGAGGGGGGTCGTATTTTTCAGGAAATGATCACAACGCGATGGCGTGCCCTGGTCTTATGACAACCGCCATTCACTTTCAGTGAGGCGGAAAGTAGAGGAGTTGGAAGAAGGAGAGCCCGGTAAAAGGAAGGTGATCCCGAGAAAAGGAGAATAGGCGAATAGACGATTTCCTCAAAAGTCGAGATACGAACCGATTGACACTGTCCAGCTGGAGAATAGCGTACCCGAGGATCGGAGCATAGGAGCAATCGATAAACATCTAATCTTTTCTGCACATTATCCGACCCACCGATTCTTGCAGACTGGTAAGTGCACTTTCCTTCTCGAGGGTTCTCCTATTCTCCACTCCCGCAGTTGTCGATTCTTCAGTGTTGCAGGCTGTGACCGCAGCCTTACGGGGAGGGACCAACTGGATAACGTAGGAACGGCAGCAACAATAAGAAGAAGTCAGAAGAAAGAGAACTGAGATTGAACCACCAGCGAATAAACATACTTTCCGATTACAGACTTTCGTTTTCTACAACGTCCTCGGAACTATCGTCAGAAATACCAGAAAAGGAAGAAAAGGATTCTAGAGCAGCAGCAAAGAAGGATATGATCGCGCCAACGAATAAACGTAAGTGAAGGTCTGACAACGGAAAGGAAATAGGGTGTTCTTCTAGCATAACTCCACCCCTCGTGTAGTGCCAAAAATAGATTCTTGTGCTGGCGAAGGAGTATCTTGCTGGGCCAACCACCTCTTACGTAGTGCGAAAATACTTTTGCGAGAATGCTTTCTTAAGTAGCATTTCAAAACAACCCTCAAACGTAGTTCGGCTTGGTGGGGCACTAAATGGTACTCAGTGGAGCTTGTTGAAGCCACCTTGCGCGAGACCTACTTCTCATCCCCCTATCAACACATGGTCCAGCCAGTCGTATCCATAATGGGGACCTATGGGGTGCTGTGGATATCAGACGTCACCTGTGTAGGGTGAGAGCTCAGAGTAGGGGGTAGATGCAGAGAATCCCAACAGTAGTCATCGACCATGGGAAAAGGGGGATGAAAGAAGTGAAATATGAAGTGCTTAGTGTCCTTAACCCGTACCACTACAGATCATGCAACATGCAACCATAAGGAAAAGGCTAGTGGTGACGGCGAAGCTCACCGTAACGTTGACAGTATCAATGGCTTGGCACCAAATCCGGATCCGCGAGAGGCTGCCAAAGAAGCTGCCCGTGCAGGTTCACGAGAAACTCCTCACGAGGCACCTCGTGCCAAGGATAACGGTGATTCCAGGGAGGCGCGGAAGGAGCGACGTCATAGAGACAGGCGCAGAAGCAGACATCCACGTGAGTGAACTATTCGGGAGCACCGTAGTTCGGATATTCTTTCACTTGTATTTACAGCGCAAGCGATCAATA